CGCGGGCGTGTAATCACACGGTTACCAGGCAAGCATCAACTCGTAAAATCTCGAGCTCTGGCGGCGGGAAACTCGGTATGAGGATGACGACGGGCGACGGACGGGAGTATGATCGGACGACACATGTGTGGCATGTACGTATGTATGTAAAGGAGAGAGAACGCGGGAGATAGATGAACCCAGCGTCGACCGTGATGCACAAAGGGTAACTTGATACACAAGTCTTGATATGCAAAGCGCGTGCGACCGGAGCGCGTATCCGGTACTGACTACGACGCCAAGAATTGTGCGCCAGGAGAGCGAGAGAGAAAGGGATAAAGTGGAAGAGAAAGTCAGGAATGGTGTCGCTTTAATTGTGATATTTTTATTCCACAATGAATAAAAGTAGCATCGATTCTCCCCTCCCCCTCTCTCTCTCTCTCTCTCTCTCGCGTACACGTACCGCATTTGTTTACGATTATGACGAAAGATTATATCCGTCGAAAAAGATAGTTGGCAATTTTATTAAGCGAGCCAGAAAGGCGGATGTGCAAATTCGGCAATGCAAACAATGTCCCGTACGAGGGCGGCAATTAATCGTTCGATATACATACAACATAGCAGTTCACTAATTACACTCTCATATCTATAATATACTCTCCGAAACTCTTGAATATAATCATAACGCGTTTAGTGAGATAAACACAAACGCACACGGGTATACAGGCGCGTCTGTTGTTTGAATCAATTCACGTTAGACAGAGAGGATTTAATTATATCACCGCGCTCACGCGCATATCGTATCTTTACGAGTCGAAATTTTGTCGAAATTTCGTCCCCTGCAAATTTCGTCGAACTCGAAGAACCAATGAAAAGTTCCGAGATACAACACTGTACAAGCTATTGTCCTATCCGGAGAAAATATTGTAGTAAAAGAGTGCGCGGGGTCAAGTTTGCGTTAGATTATATGGTCTATGATCCAAAATTACAATAATTTAGTTGTAATTAAAGTTAGTTAACTTGAGTTGAATCTTAAAAGTTAAAGTAGAACCAAAATTTCGACTTCTGGTTCCCTCCGCTTTTACATCACCTTATTACACCGTCTTAAAGGAAACCATGCATTTCATTGCGGACTATATTCTACGAAGAGCCCAGGCGAGCATACATCGAGAAGGGTACAATTACGTTTTGCCGAGAGTCAGACGGAAGTTTATGCCCTACTAAAGCCGCTCATTAAAATTTTTAAGTCGGCAACCGCGAGAGAATTTTACAGTCCTGTTTATATCCCGCGGGACGTCAAGACGCAAAGCTGTATTCCTCATTGTCGCGAGAGCTCGCCGGGGGATGGCAGAATTAATTGGGGAACGAATTATACTTGGGAATTGTTATGTTACCGCACGTAATGCGCTGAGAAGAGGGAGAGAGGGAGGAGTTTAAAATCCCGTCTTCTCTCTCTCTCTCTCTCTCTCTCTCTCTCTCCCTCTCTCTCTCTCTCTCCCGTGGCCGCACATCGAGAGAGAATTTCTATTTTAATCCCTCGCGAATCGTTATTGCGCGAGGAATCGGTTTTCTTCGGGAGAAATTAGACACGCGCTCAGGCAAATATCGCGTGAGACAATATAATAACACATGTGTCGCGCGCGTTGAAGATGCGACGACACTGTGGTACGCTCCGAGCACGTTCCAGCAGGTCAATATGGCACAGGCTATCGTGACTATTATGTGAGAGGCCAAATCATTAGGACGAACACGTACGTTGATGTACGCGCTATTACGAAAATGATGCCACTAAATTCAAGCACCGCGATCCATCGGGGAATTCTATGAGGTCACTTTGACCGCCCAGCTGATTCCCGTTTGGCGCGCTTGTCCAGCGCCGTATTTCGACGTCTGTTCTTCGCAATCGCAAAGAAACGCGACTTCAAACAAAGAATGCAGAACAATTTTCCCCAGAGCGAATCAGTGAAAGATGTATTGAGGGGCGCGGGCTTTAACTCTTTGCGACATTTAAGCTTTTTCTAAGCGACATGATGGGTCGCTTAGTGACTCACATTTTCCCATTCAGTTTTTAATTATTTAAATCCAAATAAATAATTTTAGTATCTCTTATAATGGTATCCTGGGGTTTTTTTTGAGTCACCTGATTCTAAACTGAAGTCAGAATTTTCAAATTTTTTAAAATCCAAAATAGTGGAACCAAAAACAAGAAAATAGTTTCATTATTTTGAAAATTCAAAATTTTAGTCTCAGATTCAAATTCAGTTATTTAATAAAAACTTCATGTATTGATTTTCATAAATATTAAAAAAAATTTGAATTTTTGGTTCGCCGTATTGGATCTGTCATTTTGAATTTTAATGTTCCGACTTCTGATTCGTAATCAGCGAGCCGAGAAAGCCCCGGGTACAAAGTTTCAAAGAGAACGATACAAAAATTCGTGACACAAAGAGTTAATAGCATTCCCCTTGGCAAGCCCGACGCTGATTAAGAACGCCCGGCGGATACGAAAGAAATCACAACAGCGCGAGGAACTTTACGCATGGCGTCGGAAATGGAGTGGAAAACTGAAGACAGTCGGAGGAGCATTTCCGATATCGAATACGCCATAGGCGTGCGACGGAACGCAACGGCGGTGAACAAGATTGAGAGGGCGGCCTCATTTTAAAAGTAGCGAAAACTTCCGCGGACGTTCTGCGCGCGCGAAGCTGCTGCTCGAATAACTGCTGGTTAATTCGATCTGCAGAACCGGATAATAGTCGGAGCAATTTTCAAAATTACCCGCCCAAGTAATCGACGTAGAAATAAGATGGGAGCCCCACTCTCGGCAAAAAGATAGACGCGGCAGGATAACGATGCCAGTGGCGATACCGCAACGAAATGAAAATCGAAATTTCGCTCGAGGTCTCGATACGAAGCAGCACTAATCGCGGATCCTCGATAATGGAAACGGCATGACACGGGGATTTCAGATATTTATCCCAAAGTGAATTGGCGCGAGATAGAAGAAAGAGAGGTAAGGCTGTTACATTACAAGAGCAAGCAATTACACGTGAGCGGTTGACTTTACTTGGACGGAATCGCCGTCCGATTGTGCTCATCAATTAATTTGGAGTGCGCAGCGGCTATAACGACTCGCGGAAGCTTGCGTGTGGCGTGCGACTACGATCGTTGTTAAAATGTCAGGCGCATCCAGTCGCGGACGGAATTACGAGAGAACGTGAGCTATGAACTTCGTTCGATTGCAAATTGACTTAACCGCGAGTACGTGCGCGAGTAAGGCCCGGCACTCGGAGATTATTTACTACGATCTAAACTCGGCTCTCTGTGCGTGCAGTTTGTTTCTGAATTTACGTCTCGAGCGACCGCGGAGTTCGACCGACTCGATACTGCAAATGTCTGCAAGCGAAACGCTGACAATGCGCCGAAAAAGCCAGGTCGCGCAAAATCGATGTCAACGGAGGTACACAAAGGAGCATTGACAAAGTCAATGTCTCGAACCGACATCGCCGGGACCAACTTTACCGCAGCAACATTGCCGGCGGAGCGATATCGTTCGCTCGAAGACGTATTATTTAAACACGTTGACACGTTCAGTGGAAGTAATCTCTCAGTGGAATTTTTTGTTACGCAGATCGAGAAATGAACATTCGCGATTCAAACAGTTTCACAGGCCGTAGACATCTACGGATAAAACGGCTCTGAAAGCAGTCGTTAAATTTACTTTTCGTTCCTCGCTAAAAGCGCGAGTTTCCGCCAATAGAGCAGCGTGAAAAAAGAGAGCGAGAGAGAAAACTTTTACAAAGAGATACGCTCCAACTGCCGTCGGAGCATAACAGTTTCGTCAGTAAATGGTTAGTTCAGAGACAATGAGGGACGTCGAGAACGCAATGAGCTCGAGCTGTAATTAATCGAACTGACAATTATCTCTATGACTAATGCCTGGTCAATGCTTGCGCGCGTGCCATTGAACGAGAGAAAGCAGGAGGCAATTGCCAGGTCGAAATTTTCACTCTACGCGAAAATTCCTTTAAAGATACTTCAAAAATCCCTTTCAACATGCTTACAGCTACACGCATCCTATCATGCATCTTTCGATTCTCACAGAGAGGAAATGCGAATAACTCTTTTGCTCGAGATTGCGTTCTGCAACATCAGCATTCTTTCGTTCCAACGATCGATTGCAGTAAAATTATTTATGATATTTGGAGAGCTGTGGAGTAATGTATTTCTCTTACATCCATAAAAAAATATGATCTCATCCTTAGTGGAATTCTTTTATGTATAGCTTCAAAATAGTTTTTTTCTAAAACCAAAAGAAAAATTCTCTAAACACAACATTATTCCTCTTCATATTAGAAGAGAAATTTCGGTAAAAGTTTTTCAGAATGTGAGATTACAGGAAATAATGCTTCGCAATTAGAGTGCTTTACATCCTAGGTATTAAAATATTTTTTTTTTATTTTAGGAAGTTGGAGACCATTTGCAAAGAGAACATGGAGAGAGTTTCATAGTAAAAGTTACTATAGGATTTTGTAAGCGAGAAACAGATCAACATTCTGCGGTAGTTCGCTATCCTTTCATCTCACATACGCCATTTCAGAAATTGAAATGCGCTATTAAAACATTTGATGTTTCTAGCGAAATTTACGATGTCCTTAACAAAAAAGGAAGATGAAAAAAGAAAAGACTATAATATTCTGCCTGTATGTGAGAATTCCGCCAAGGATGAGATCACATATTTTTGGATGAGAACAAAATAATTCTCCCGCGCGACAGAACATGTGTGAATAAATGCTGAGACAGCCAAACTCGCGAGACTCGCGACGCTGCTTCGTCGATGACAGTTAAGCGAAATCGCTGGGAAGATTCGCGCGTTTCCCCTTTCATTCCGCTTTACTTCGATCGGATCGATCAATAACGAGTGCACGCGCGCGCGCACGCGGAGCATAAAGGGGTGAAGAGTTCAAGTTCCGCTACACGCGTCGCGAATTTAACGGAGAATTCATCAAACATCGACTTACCGATGAGCAGTCGGGCTCTCTCTTCAGCCGAGCGTGGCGTGTAAATCTACGTCCTGCCAGCCGCGTTCGCAGCGTCCGGTCCTCGTGGTCGGAATAATCTGTATTGTCCGAAACACACTTGGCGCGAACTCGTCTACGCACCAGATGCGGGTACGAGATCACTCCGCGTGCACATGCTCGCGAACACGAACGGAGAAGTGTATTGTCAAGCGGTGCGAAAAACGAGTCGGAGCTCATCAACGGCGGCTCGCGGTCAGTCAGACGACACCTTGACTCTGTCGCACTCGAGGAGAGAAGAGCTCCCGTCCGTCCGGACGGACGCGTCAGTCAGTCAACACAATACGCCTGCCGATACACAACCGAGGACGTCTCTCGAGGACGAGCCCAATCTGTCCAGCAATACGTCGCGATCGGCGCGATAAAATGACCGAGAGAGCGTTCGTTTCTGGCCGCTAACGACTCACGTGCGTTCTACACGAGGACTCCTCGTCCGGAAGTTGAGGATCATCAATCATCGGTTGCGGCGCGGTTATTAAAGCGGCAGACGCGCTATCGCGGCTAACCTCCGCGCGAATTATCGACGCTCGCGTCGGCCGACAGTTCGGGGGGATCACAGATGATAACGTGTCCTAATGATTACACGAGTCCCGATCTCTCTTGCTCTCGCGATTACGAAGACGTCCGGGAAAGTTTGACGGCGAAAGAGGAAACGCAGTGCACGTCTACCTTAATCATGAAGCGCTTCGACGCGAAATCACGTCACCTCTCGGGACGACCGTTCTCACAGAGACAACGAGCGCGGAAGCGAGTTCCCGTTGGCGCATAAGCGTCAAACTTTTCGACGAGACGAGCTAGCCGGCGGCGAGGTCCTCGAGATCCGCGATTCCGCGGTCGTTCCGCGCGAGAACGACGCGCTACCGATCTTCCCCGGCATTTGGTCCGGGCACGCTCATCTCCGCGGGATCACCGTCGATATTACACGCGCAACGCTTCTTTTCTTTCACCCGACTAGACTCGCGCTCAAATCGTCCACGCGACTCTCGACAGCTTCGCGTCACCAGGAACACCGTCGGCGCGCACCATCGTGCGTCGGCGGATCACAGCCAGTGCGTCGGGCCTGTCCGTGAAAACGTCATCGTGTAACACGCGTCCAATCCCGGGATCGCGACACAGCGAGTGACCGACTTTGACGAACGACTGGACACGGCGGGCTCGTCGTGGAATGCCGAATTTGTCCAGCCAGGGCGATCCTCGGCGCGAGAGGCTCGTGAGCAAGATTCACCGAGAGGAGAGGCGCTCTCTGACGTCGTGACGTGCCGAGTGTCACGCGCAGGTAGCACGTGTGACGCGACGCGCGCGTGTGTGATATGGTCGTGACAGCGAGACGGGAGACGTGGGCTCCACGTTAGCCCGAGGCACGAGGTGCGAGGCACGAGGGGCGCCCGGCGTGACGCTCTGGTCGGGTCTGTGTACCGGGGTGCTACTGGGGATAGCCGTATGCTTGTTTTTGCAGAGCTACGCCGCGAGAGAGTGAGGCCGGGCCGGAGTGGGAGACATAGGGTGAGAGAGGGTTGTGTCGGAGTGTGGCGCGAAAGGGGTTAGGGGGTGAGAGAGAGAGAGAGAGAGAGAGAGAGAGAGGGAGAGCGCTGAACAGAGGGAGAGACGGCTGGTCCAAGCGAGACGGGCAATTGGCTGGAGTGTACGAACGAGGATGGCGATAATAGCGAAACGGAAGAGCGCGAGAGGGATGGTGAAGAAGGGTGAGACGACCAACGAGGGAGAAGGAGAGGAAACGACCCCCACCGGGGGTGGACTCGGCGGCTGGCCTCGACGTCGACCGACGTCGCGACGGCGCAGAGCAGTCGCCAGGACTACCATCTCCCTCTACGCCGACACACCGCGGCTTTCCTTCCCTCCCGCCGCGGGAAGGGCGACCCTCCATCCACCTCACGCTTCCCGACCCCGTGCCCCGCACCTTTTCCAGGGCCACGGATCGATCCGCGACGTCCGTCCGTACGTACATCCGTCCGTAAACTTGCCGCTACGGCCGTTATGCTACGGTGTGTATTCGCGATCGGTCGAGATGTGTGTTGGTTGGGCTCTCTCTCCCTCCCCCTCCCTCTCTCTCTCTCTCTCTCTCTCTCTCTGTCGGATGCACACGCGGATGTGTGCATGAGAGGGCGCATGCGAGGGCGCTTGTTAAGTTGGCGATGTCAGGCGCGTCTCCCTCGGAAATTCAAGAGAAGTCAGTACAGTCAGTCGCCAGACCAATAGATTGTCCGCCTCTTTTTCATGACTCTAAAAACGTACCCATCGTGTCCAATGGAAGAATCTGCTTTCAATTGGGAGAAAATTCCTCCAATTGGACGGATACGTTCCTAAACTCTTGAAAAAAGGCGGACAATCTACCTCGCTCCGCTAAATGTGAAAGTGTGGGTGCGCGAGGATATTGTGGGACACGTGTGTCCGATTGAGGGTGGCGAACTGATAACGGGGATCGCGCCCTCACCTGTCGGAAGTTGTTAAAGTCGGCCTTAACCGGTTTCGCGTAAATTCTTTCGCCTCGGCTCAGTAGAGCACGCTTCGTTAACACGACGATTAACAGAATTTCAGCCGGATCGGCGCTAAACTGCAAAGTTAGCCGGAAAGTTTAGCCGACGTTACTTTGAGCGATGCGCCACAATCGCGAGTTACGGCGCGAACGCGTATGCTCGCTCGCCAAGTTCGTCTTTCGTATGTTCGGCTCTCGACAACCCGCTGGCGTGTGTATCGCGAGGCGCACGTGTGGAAGTGCGAACTTGCACTGCGCGGCCATATGCGCGCCTGTCTGCTGACGTTCCGTTTTAGTGGCGCGCACTAAACTCGCGAGCACGCACGCACGTTGAATTCGTAGTTTGTGCAGTGGCAATCTCTCACGATGCAAGTGTCTCGCTAGTAAAATCGGCCGTTTACTTTAAGAGCCTTGGGTAGTTTGTAGGCATGGATTCAAAGAATTAAATTAGGTCTGAATTTTTTTACAAAGAGATTATAAGACATATTTCTGTACTTTTCAGTATATTTTTAATATACCGTGAGGAAGATGAATAATTTTTTTCATAATTGAAACTCGCGTATCAGTGGATGCACGATATAGCCACTTGTAATGATGATAAACGGTCCCGTCTTCCGGGGATTTGCGAAACGTTTGCACGTGCAAGAGGAGTGCGTTTCGAAAAATTGACATTTGCAGAGATAAAAATACCAGCCAAATTGCGCACATCACCCCGCGCCGAGATGCATTAGTTCGCGTCGATTTAAACTGCGAGTTGCTAGATAAAAAAATTTGTTACGCGTGACCGCGACGTGTGATTTATTTCGTCGGCCCGCTATCAATCGCTACGTGCGATATCGCGAACTGCGATGCAACTTGGCGTATGCCGCCGCAAGTTCCAAACGAAGTGCTGCAACTGCGTGACAGTATGGGCCGCGGGTGCATACGTACACGTGTCCTCGACTGCGGGCGTTCGTGTGCGCGCCGCTGCAACTTCGCAAATGCGCCCGCGCCCCCAGCACGTTGCTCGTCGCCCGCGCCTTGCATCCACGCGGATGATCGCGCGCGAAACGATCTCGAAGTAAGCGAATAAGTCGGAGTGCACGCGCTGTGTCGCAACGTCGCCGTCGTTGTTGTCGTCAAGTTGCAACGCGGTATGTAAGTGCGGCGGGATCCCACGTCCGTCTCCGGACGCACATCTACTCCGTGGACGCCGAATCGCGTCTCGTTGTCAGATAGCTCAGACACGGGCTTACACCTGCGCGTGCATGTGCACGCACATATACACACGAACACACACACACACATACACACATAGGCAGGCGCACAGAATACGCGCGCGCCCGTGATCTATGTGCGTACGTTGTTCTCGTGATTCTCGATTTGCGCGACACGCGTATCGCCTGCGACACTCCGCCGTTCGTGTACATGTGTGTGCATGTGTGACACATGCGTCCCGGTACAGACACGATTTGGCCGCGTGTCCGCTAATGTAACCTAGCGCACACGCGTTACGCCGGTCTGCCCGGACGTGTTACCGGATGAACCTTATCAATTTGCCCGGCCTTTTTGCAAATGGAGCACCGCCGCGGATAATTAATTAACCTCTTCGCCACGCTGGCGGTGGGTACTGAGTCGCGCATGGCGCTACGTTATCTCCACAGACGGATATTACAGTCGCGTTTTGTCCGCGTTTCATGTCTCTCTTATGCTACTGTAAATAACTACGCCGCGTTCTCGTAAATCCAAGATCGTTCCTATCCGAGAGAGGATGGCAGAGATAGAGACGGGAATAAATAGAGCTTGACGCACGGATACGTCTGGGCATTACCGCCAATTAAAAGTCGCGCGCGCACGAACGGCAAAATCTCCCTTCGCCGAACTTCACAAGCGGGCTTTAATAAAATTTTAACCGATTTCGTATTATATGAGTTTCATTCGCGCGTTAAAATCTGGCACAGTTACGACACGACTTTTTAACGCATGATAAAAATATATTTCGTGCATTAACGTAATCCTCGTAGTTATTTCCTCTCGGCGCGGATTCCCGCGCCGATAATGAAAATCCCGTTATTTTTAAAAACGTTATTGAATTCCGGTTTGCAAAGAGCACCTAATGCACGCGACTTGGAAAAATTACATTTTCGCAGTGTGCCGACGAGAGTGCGCCGTAAAAAAATAAAGCCCGAGGGAGAGAGCACTTCTTCAAACGGACAGAATGTTGTGGCTTTGTACATTCGGTACAATTATGATTATTACGATAATAGCTAATAAATGATGGTAATTAATGGTCGTGTCTAACTAACCACAAAGCGACATTAATTACCGATGATTAACGATGCTCTCCACGACGAACGAGGTGCCAAAAATTTCCCGCTGTTATAACGCGCGACGGAGCGTCCCGGGGATAGCCCGCTCTCAACTTTAACGGCGGCTTCTTTGACGAATTTGTCGCCGACGTCATCTGCGCTCTGCATATATCGACCGTTCATAAGCACCGACCGATGCACCGCATCGCATCGCGTTGCGCGAATATCCCGAGTGCTAAGGTGAAGGTACAAATACCATTTGGTCTTTAAGTACAAACATCTGTACTTTCACACGGAGAAAACTGCGTTGGTTGCTACAACCACATGTTCTGTGGTCACAGAAAAACTTTATGTGATTTCAAGTTAAACAGACATTGCAATAACAGTTGCTATTGTTACATGCACATCTGTACAGTTCTCACTACCACAGTTCTTATGATACGCAATGACTGGTTAGTATATCCTCATATATATGATTGTCTCGACCGAAGGAATATTGCTGCCTCTCTGTTGCGGTCTGCAGATTAAATACTATCTCTCTAAATACTAAATCTCTAATTTTATTTCTTATGCATTTTGTTGCACTTGTTGATGATAGGAGTGAGAACATTAAAAAACTATAAACCGTGAAGTTCAAAGTAGACCAAAATGAAAAAATATGACCTAAATATTTTTTATACTTCTATTTGTGCCAAATTAGAAGGAAATCGGAATGTAACTTTTGAGTAGGTTTATTTGTAAGAAAAAAATACGTGAAAATTTATTCTTGGAATACAAAGCTTATTCCTAAGAAACAAAATTAATCTTTTTGCGAAATAAACTTTATATTCCACAAATAAATTTTCAAATATCTCTTTTCTCATTGTATATTTTATGTTAAAAGTTGAAAAATATTCGTATTTAAAGAGCAAAACGATAAGAATGTTCAGGATTAAGTACGTGTAATGAGTATCTTTAGTTTGCCTAAATCTGGACATTCTTATTGACCTAGTCTTTAAATATTTAAACTTTACTGAAACAATATATACATATATTTTATGTTAAAAATTTAAATATTCGTATTTAAAGAGCCAAACAGTAATATTATCTAGGATTAGATGTGGGCATTGATGCTTTTGCCTTAATCCTTCAAAAGTGTCGTTTTACGGAGGTCACGCAAAAGTTCGCCCGGTAAAACTAATATCGCGGGAGATCCGTCCGGGACCAACTATTTTCCGAAGTGTCCGATGCAAGCGCGAGAATTGGTCTGAGTTCAGTTTATTAAAGCTGATCGGGTATATAGTTTCACGCGCGCGCGCGCACGGGTATTTTGATGAAATTCCTTTTGGGAGTTAACGTATTCACGAACGCAGGGAGATGGCCGGAATCGCCGCGACCGCGTCGTCTTCAAAGTGGAGTGCGCGATAATTTGCGTGCACCGACTGGCCGTAAGTCCGGTGTACGTGTGTACACACGTCAAGATTGGTATATGCATACGCGATATATCTACATGGCGCTCGATGACGGCCTACGTGTCGCCGCATACGCAGACTATAAATTATGGTAACGATTATATTGACAATTATGTGCAACTAGATCGTGCTGTATATCGCGCGCGAGTCGTATTCGTCGGGACGATCCGGGCG